TCTGGAGGCCCCTACCTAACAGTGGTGTGTCCACTCCATCTACTACAAAAGGTCAGCAACACATGCTTTCCCATTGACGGCGGTGACCCCCAACTCTAGCACACCATGAACCTGCGGTCTGTGCTCTCCATAAGCCTGTAGCTGGATCTGCGCCTTTTGTAAAGGCATGTGTTGCGTGTTCCGTGTTCACCTATGTGATATGTTCTGACGCGACGTTAGAATAGCCACTTGATGGATTTTGCCCGGGTCAGCGATAATTACAAGTCACCCCACAGCCTACGATGCATCAGACGTGGCAGAATGCTACCCGAGGAGCCTGTGTCAGCCATTATTGGCATGCTCTTTACCCTGATCTGCACTTCAGTTCAGATGGGCTGTGCTAGGAGCCCTGTGCAGTCATGACCTGAGTCACCTGCACGTGCCTTGTCATCTTGCGTCACTTAGCAGCAAAATGTTCAACTTCCCACACAGTCAACAAGTTCTACCTCTAGCTGGATGCACTTGCTCCCTGGCTCGGTGAGGTCCTCCAAAGTTGCAGCGCGCTATCTATTTTTCAGTGGATTGGTAGGTAGGCTGAGTAGGCAACCCTCTCTTGGAGCTTACTGTCTTTCGAGCGCTGTTGAGGCCGACTGCTGCCGTTTCTGTCCCCTTGAAGCATCCTGCAGCTGCTGGTCGGGGCTTCACTGCTGCCACATCCACTGGTGCTGCTGCTGGTTGCTGTCCAGCTCCTGCTCCCGCCCTGTAACCAGCTGATAACACAACAACTTGCAACAACAACTCGCGCTGTTGAATGCTCTGCACGACTCGAGCCTTTTCTGATACCTTTGCCAGTGTCAGAGACTCCACATCACACGGTTTTTTTCTTGGTTTATCAAACCTGCAGCCTTCTATAAACTATTCACACACAAACTGCGCGCTATTATCTCCAAATTCACACTTCATGATCAAGGCCTGTGGCTTGGCCGCATATATCTCAGCCGACTGTCCATCCTGCTGGAAACAACGCCTGAAGAACCGACTGTCCATCCCGCTGAGAACAACGCCGATTGTCCATCCTGCTGAGAACAACGCCTAAAGGCCGGACTGTCCATCCTGCTGAGAACAACGCCGACTGTCCATCCTGCTGAGAACAACCGACTGTCCATTCTGCTGAAAACAACGCTGACTGTCCATCCCGCTGAAAACAACGCCTGAAGAGCTGACTGTCCATCCTGCTGAGAACAACACCGACTGTCCATCCTGCTGAAAACAACGCCAACTGTCCATCCTGCTGAAAACAACGCCGACTGTCCATCCTGTTGAAAACAACGCCGACTGTCCATCCTGCTGAAAACAACGCCGATTGTCCATCCTTCTGAGAACAACGCCTGAAGAGGGTCCTCTTCTAATGAGTGCCCCCCTTTTCCCAGAAACGAATTTCGAAAGACGGGACAGATGACTGAAATGAGGTCCAGTTCTACCTCCTGCCGATTTTGTTTCCAAATCCTGCACTGCATCTGCTCACGTACCAGCAACTGCCTGCTGAGCAAAATGCAGATGATGTCCTTCCCGTCCCACCAAAGCTTAGTAAGAGTCATAGCCCATTCGTTCCAGTTTTGAGAAGCAGCCCCGATTTTAAACTCCCGTAACTGATTGGTCCAAGTCACGGTCGGCTTGCCAGCCGTAGCCAAGAAAGGTGGGGGCACAGCCGTGCATGACAATAGACTTGGAGGACAGCTTGCAGGTGTTAAGTACACTTGAATGGAATCGATACCTCGAGAGTATATCAGTACACTTCAGGCTTACGCATCCAAACAGTCCCAACCCTGCCTGCAGGTCCTTCCACAATGTCAGTGATTGAATGTCTGCCAGGCCCTTAGTCCCGTCCCTGCTGACCGAGATGCCTGCAGCATCCACGGTGAAGCCCAGGAAGTCTGGCGAGTTCGTCATGAACTTACACTTCCTGCGGTTTAGTGACACAACCAACAGTGGCACAATCACAGAACAAGTACAACAACGGCACAATCTTGTTGAATAATAGCAAAGCAAGTCACAATGAAGAAAATGATCGGCTTACTAGGTCTCCAGCCTCTAAAACCACCTTGTCGCCAAAAATTATGTAGCGTCTTCTATAGTTTATCTAGGATTTCTCCTTCTCACAACTTACATTAACGTAATACTAGCCTCTAAATAATCTGACGCGTGTGGGTCCACCAATGCAAGCATAACGTCACACATGCTCACCTCGTCTTGCTCCCAGGTCAGAATGATCGCGTGGTAGCCACCCGACCCTGACGTGACGTATTGTTCAGAAACCTCCGGCCGACCCCACTTCCGGACTACGTGATCTCCGCTGACCAACCGATCGTCGCACGACGTGGGCCTCAACCATGCGGGCGGTACCGGCTGATCGTAGCAGCCTCCCACCAATCCAGACACGAGACACAACGCTCCGCCCATAAATACTAATATACTTTTAAGTAGAGAGACTGCTCGACACGACACAGTTGCTCTGTTTGGTGCATATGTTCCTCATTACGTCATTGTTTCATTACGTCTACGCACCTTGCGCAAATTGATTGGAGGCCAATGGAAGGCCGTGATATCTGGAAGTCTTGCCCATGAACGCCAAATATGAAGGCTCACATTAAATGATTTTTCTTGGCTTTGATCACCGCCCTGGCTAATGCTAATGCCAGTATTTGAATAACGTTATTTTTGGTGTCGTGAATGCCGGATTGATCTGAAACAGCCTCCCGAAATAGTGTGTACTGTCTCAGCGGCGTGTAGCTCAGAGGCTAGAGGGGTTTAAAGTCTTAAGACGCAGGGCTGTGAATCACACCAGAATGATCTTCAAGGATGGTAAGTTCAGTTCAAAACCCATACAAATGTGAGCTAACTTCCTTTAAAGGAAGTGCTTTCATATTTAAAGACGTTGAAGCAAGCATCATATATGGTGACATAGAACTGACTCATTACTATCGATATACTTTTTAAGTGGAAAAGGCTGCTCTAGATAACCAAAATCTCCTTATTTAGCTTAAAACGTTCCTCAATACCGTCATTTTTATGACGTCTGAATGACAGCACGCACGTGGGGTCTTCAGTCTCTCTCGGAGGTGGTCCACAACGGTGCTGGATTTGTGCTGAACCAAATGGCCGTTCGGTGCCCGTATTTGGGCCTTTTTGTCGTGGTGCTCTTGCATGCTTATCCGCGGGTTTAAAGTGCTAGCCTTGTATTCGTATGCTCGTTTAGAGCGCTAGTCTCAAGTCATTCGATTACAAGTCTAATATCTGTAATGCCAGGAGGGCTGCTAACTTTTTGTTCATGTAGCACAAAGCGCAATTGTGTTACAATCTTGCATAGCTTGTATAACAGTGATTAATGGCCAGTTGATGGACATGATACCTGAAAATCGGGTTTGTGAACGCTGGACATGAGCACTTGCCAATTATATTTGTACTTACCCGAACGCCCTATGTCCAGTGGAATGGCAGGATCTGATATCGTTATTGTGGCTTCATGGATACCTAGGTAGCCTTGAAAGTTTGCACCAAATATCTGTACACTCTTCGCGGGTGCATCGCTCAGAAACTAGGCGGGTTTAGGCCTTAAAAAGCAAGGGTTGTAAACTGCACCGAATGATGTTCAAGATGGCTATATCATACATATGCATATATATATATATATATATATATATATATATATAACAGTGCCGCTAACCTTATTCCTCGTCAAAAGCCAAAAGTGGAAAAAATAGATAGCTAGATAGCTAGACACATAGATAGAGAGATTTCCTGGTTATTCCGAGATAATAGAGCCAACTGTTCGATCTACACAACTGTTATCTGTGTTCTTTTAACACTACTGTTTATTATACTACGACTGTACGGTTCTATCTATATACATAATTTTCTTACCAAATGCACTTAAAACAGACGCTAGATGGCCATTTCAGGTCAATGCTGCATACAAATGTTGAACACTACCCCTTTAATGGCTTATTTCAATACCATATTTATGACGAAGATACATGTCCACAAAGTCAAGGCCTAATTAAATGGCAGTTTATTGTGATGCTTGCAACCGCATTCAAGGGATGGTGATGAGTAGAATGACTAACTCAATAGGAAACTGTCTTAAGCAAACTTTGGCACCACCGTGAGCCAACCCCGTGCAGCAGAGTGCATTAAAATCACCTCACACGACCACCACAGCCATGTTTTAGTTCATAGCATACGGCGCCGGGAACAAGGCAAAATGTGCACATGTAGCAAAATGTGGCTGCCTAGCTTTTGTCGCGGATTAGGCCGCTTGTCGGATGATGCATGTTTTTCTTCACCCTGGAGAAGCGGAAGGTTAGTTTCCTTTTGGGTACGCCTAATGCCTTCAAAATAACGATACTGAGTGTGTAGGTAGATGCTTATAGAGCAGCAACAAAGTGGGCAGATTTAATCACCGACTGGAGTTCAGCATTTGATTCCAAAGCCATGGCTTCCATGCCAGTTCGTGACCAATCCATGATGGCTGGAAGAAGCTAGTCTTTTCAACACATGCATGCTCATTATTCCCGGTCAGGTCTCTAGATTCGCTCGGCACAAAATTCAAATGGTGACCATGCGAATTGCCTTGAAAACAATGCGTAAAAATCGTGTTTGACTAAACGTCTCCGGTGTCCCAACGCTCGCAAAGAGTTTGGGTATGTTCACCCTTGCTGTGTCAATATAAGCTAAGAAGTTAGGGCCTGTGATCTGGACGAGAGATGGCAAACAATCAAGCTATACCATAGTGAACGTGCTGACATATCAGCGATCTGGACCACCAGCCTCATCGAACGACGATGCTTCAACCCTGATCCGTGATCGCTATGCCCTGAAGTTATTATTCAACAGTATTGGTTTCAGTGCTCATGCCTTGGCCATCGTCTGATGTGGTGGGCATATGTGGAAGAGCGCAGACATTCCCGATGTCGCAATGCTGATTTTACATGCAAGCGTACTCGGGGGCCGTCCAGTACCTACGTTTAAGACATTTTTGACTACTTGCAGCCACTTCTTACCTGGTTCCCGCTGCCCCCCCCCCCCCTTTCACCCATGGTTGCGATGTGTTAAGCGCAATGTCCCAGGACAACATTACCCGTTTGACTCAAAGGAGCTCAAAAACCGTTTTATCTTAGTCCAATTGATTATTTACGCTCCCTTATTACTCTGTTAATCTAGTGTATCTATTTTGTGTCATGTAAAAGAAATAGCAGGAACGCCTCATGCTTGTCATTAGGCCAGCCAACGGCGCTCGGCGTTTGTGTTCTGAAACCCTTAAGGTTGATATTTTAGCATGATTTGGAACCACACCGGCGTGTAACATTATACCATCCGAAAACGTAAATTAGAGCTGCCCTGCTATGCAAAAAACCTAAAACTGTTCTGTCACGGTTCGTCTACGCTCCAACAAGACATATCTCAACCTCAACGCGTGATTCCGTTTACGGATAGCCTTCTTGAGGCCGCTTCTCCGACGCCGATGGCTATCAGTGATTGGCCAGCTCACTGGAAAGCTTATGATTTAATCACTCGTAGATTGCGTCCACGGCATTAGTGCCCACTTGGCTCACGTCTTCACTGAGCGATGGCGGAGCACCACGGCGCCTTGACGTGTTTATTCGAGAACGGGATGGTCGTTACCCGTCTTCTACGCCGTCACGAAGGCTGTGGTCGACAGTGAGCGTCCACGGCGACCGCGCATACAAACAGCGCGAGGCCGACTGGGCGCGGGCCGCAGACCGGCAGGACGCTCGACGCGGCGGCAGCTGTCGGTGTCGGCGGCGGCCAGGCGGCGGTAGGTGGGACACCTGAACCCCGCACATGTTTGACGAGTTCGGGCAGCCGAGTGCGACGAGCCCGGGCAGCCGAGCGTGACGAGTTCAAGCAGCGAGCGGTAAAGAGTTCGTTGGCAGCTTCATTTTTCTGATTGATGTTAGTTCCTTCACATGTATGTTTGGCTATCACTTATCTGTTAATTCATCGTCATATCTCATATTTTACATTATTGGTTACCATTCACGTATTAAGTGCCATGTTAATTATAGCTGCTAGCAGTTGGCCGAAACCGGGGACAGCGAAAGTTTCGTGAGTCAGGAATTAAACATCGACATGTCGATTCTTCATCTCGGGTCCAAGACCTGAACTAGGCCTGCACTTATCCTTGCACTTCACCTGACTGTTATGTAAGCACGAACATCTGCATTTTGCAAAGAGCGTCGCTTGTCTCGTCGCTTGTCGCTCCTTATTTCAGTGGCAAATTGACGGTGCATGCTAACTCCCAAACCCCCTGCTTTTTGTCCTTGTGATCCAAATTGTTATATTTCGAGACAGAATTGTTATTTTGCTAGCCAACTGAACCGAGCTCGCTTTCTCACAACATGCTACCATTGGCGGATGTCGGGATGACGATGCAACGTTACACTGCCTGGCAAACAGACTTCCCCTGCGAACTGTCTCTGGCCTGGACCGGGATGAAGCTTAGACTGACTTAACTGATTGTTTTCTTTTTTGTCACCGGAAAGCTCTTTCAAAATCTGTCTGATGTGGCCTCCTTTTCCGTGTCGCTATTCCGTCTTCATCAAATATATACATCATGACTAGCCGGTGGTCCTTTGGTGTCATTTCGGTCAGTGATGCCCGATCATTTTAGGTTCATTCTCGAGGATGAATCAAGTTATAATTTTCCCCGAACCAAAACAACCAAAGTTGGCTGGCATAATCCATGTGTATTTTAATCTTGCATTGCGGCCGGGATCATAAGCGGCGGATTGATTTAGAGAGGTGACCTACACACTAATTGCATTCAGGCAACAAAAATCAAGTAACAAACTCACGGGCTCTCGGTTTTCCCTTCGTACATGAGCGCTGCATGCCAGTGGAAACACTTGTGGTTGCTGCGATTGCATATATATTGTAACTCACTATCCATGAGTAGATTGGATCCCCGTCATTAATCGGTGTTCGCTGTTCCTCCTTCATTTGTTTTTTTCCCCGCTGAAGCCCATCCTGATACTGTGGTCTGTTGAGCTGAGCACATTTTCAAGCTGACAAGCTCTGGACTGCAAAATCCTCTTCCAAAGCAATCCTATCTCCGTACCTATCCAACCTTGTATTCTACCTTCATCCTGCATTCAGATGTTTGCCTTTCATGAGTATCGTTTAGGCAGAGGTTCACTGATTCAAAGTTCGTCTTCCAATCCAAGCGCCAATCGTTTGAATAGGACCAAGCTGTGGGATTAGCTATGCCTGCCTGTGTCACAATCGACGGAAACAAACCATTTTTAAGGTTGTGCGTTTACAGTGCCTGTAAAAAACCGTTGCGAAAATGCAGATGGCTTGTAGCATGGCTATAGCACAATGCTCGTGGCTTTCAGTGGGCATTTATGTCTCACGTATTTTGAGGCATGACTTTTAAAGAAATTACGCGAGCAATCCGAAGCCCTTGTTGCACCTTAAAAGTGCAGGGTCTATCTTACCGTGGCAAACAACAACCTGTAGTAGGAAGTAGTACACCGTCAAACTAGATCATTCTACTATGCATGCAAAGGGCTCTTGGGCTGGCAAATGGCCATACATAACATGCAGCATTGGGAGCTAACATAAGGGCATGCAGCATGCAGCAACGAGAGCGGCCACGACCGCATGCAGCAAGCAACCACCATGCAAGCCAATACAAGCATGCGAACCAACAGCACATGCACAATCACCAGGGCATGCAGATGCAACACGTCACATTACCTTAAATTGTTCCGGACCCGAACATTCTTGAATGTGTCCAAAAGATGTGTCTAGCTCTGTCGTACGCAGTGTCCGGAGGCTTATTCGATTCTTATGCGATAGCACATTCGTGACACTGGCTTCCAAGGCATTGCGATACCACCGTGCCAAAATGACAATGAAGTTAAAAGTTAATGTCATAACAACACCCCTTGTCTCTTCACGAGTTAAGCCGGGTAAAATATTGTGGGTTTGACACATTTATCCACACAGCGTAACGTCTTCAAAGATACCCGTGCTTGGTCCTTCGAAATGCTTCTGGTTTTGACTCGGTTGATGCGCGGATAAAACAATTTCATGCATGCCATTACCTTTTGCATATATGTTGTGCTGACATCTGAGAGAAGGAAGCGTCAAACACCGACCGAGCCTTGGCAGCATGCATCCGCTATCTTAGCGAGTTCTGACAGGGCTAGCATAAAAGCCTCATAAATGTCACCACATAAATTAGGTGATTACGTTTGTTGCTGCTCCGAGCTGTGTGACGCTACAGTTGATAGCCGCTCAAGGCCTCTGGGAACGATAACGACCGCGAGGCAAGCGGCACACAAAGGTAACGACCGCGAGGCAAGCGGCACACAAAGGTAACGACCGCGAGGCAAGCAGCACACAAAGGCAACGACCGCAAGACCAGCGGCACACAAAGGTAACGACCGCGAGGCAAGCGGCACTCAAAGGTAACTACCGCGAGGCAAGCGAGTACACAAAGGTAACGACCGCGAGGCAAGCGGCGCTCAAAGGTAACTACCGCGAGGCAAGCGGCATTCAAAGGTAACGACCGCGAGGCAAGCGGTACACAAAGGTAACGACCGCGAGACAACCGGCACTCAAAGGTAACTACCGCGAGGCAAGCGGCACACAAATGCAACTTTTAATGTCATTTTTGGAATGTGCAGTGGAATCCCTCACGCAATATGTTGGCACTCGAGTAAGCAGACACTAGCCGCCAGGGAGACCGTTCGAATTACATGGGAAAGCGACTCCCAACTGACTACCTTGGTGTGATTTCCAATGACATGATAACTGGCAACGGCTTCTGGCGATCTGGGCCATGGTTTATCAGCTCGGGTTGAGCTGTTGAAATGTCCACCAAAAATCCATTGAACCACATTTCAGCTCAGGGGCAAAAATACAAGCGTATTTCAATGTCAGTCCCTGATAGATCCAGCGTGTCTGAATCTGATCGTGATGCCAATGGCTCGGCGTTCCGGCCTCAGGCCAGCCAGGCACGAGCTTGGTGGCCTTCGCTGGACGGACGCCCGGCGCCTCACAACTCGCCCTTGCTCTGACAGCAGGGGATATCCAAGCGAGAGCCGTTTTGAGTGGGAGATCAGAACCGTTCCAGGACGGAAGTCCTCCTGCCGTTTACGCTAACGCCACGCTGTCAGAGCCGGGGCGTCAAAGTAAATGGCGCGCGGCCTCCGGGCCACGTCCTCCTGCGATGAAATGAGACCCGAAAAACTATTGGTAAAAGGCGAATATGTTTCCTCCGCGGGGTGGTACACATCGGCTGCACCTGTGGCCGGCCGGAGCGTTTTCGTGGAATCGCCGATGGTATGAGAGGGCATAGACCGGTCCAAGCCAGGCTAGGGGCGGCAAAACGAATCCACCAATGTCGGATCGTCGCTACCAGAAGCAATGAAGTGCTAATGTTTCCAAAAAATAGACCTTTTCCTTGAAATTTTTGACATTTTAAAGCATGTACAGGCTGGCATACATTTTGTATTGAATTCTATAGCAAACTCCTCCGCCCTATGTCATCTTAAGGTGGTTCGTTAACTCAGCGGTAATGCTTGGCGCCCACCAGCCGAAGGGATCGCCCCGAAATAGCGATTCTGAGATCAAGGAAGATCCACGAAGAACTGTGGTGTTTATCTATACAGTTGATTATAAGATTCCCACACGGATCCCGCTGGGTCCAGGGGTGTGGCATAAGCGGAGGCTTCCTTGTTACCGAGCCCAACTGGTTACCGAAACGCTGAACGTTAAACGTTACCGAACGTTACCTTGTTGCAGGCAATCTCTGCTCGTCGGACTTGAAAACGATCCTCGCGCCAGCACTCGGGAACACCTTGCTAACCACCATGTTGTTGGGATTTGTTCTGGCCACCTTTCTGCATGTCAGCAAAGCATGCTTGGAGGTTCCGCACTACTTCGGATCCATGGATGCAAGTCTGGAAATCAGTAGAAGTACACTCCGGGAGACGGGCTCCTCGTGCCATTGCTGTGGCCTGTGCCACCAGGACGACCGATGCAAGAGCTTCACTTTCGATGTAAACGAGAATTCATGCGTCCTGTACAGCAAGGTGGGCGGCTACAGCGAGTTCACCCGCCTGCCGTCCGAGCCGGTCTACCCAGGAGTACTTCTTCATGCCGAACAGCTCGACGACAGGCGAGTTCTGCCGCCATGACACCGACTGCCAGGCGGGTAGCGGCTCATGCATCGCCAGGATCTGCACCACTGACGTCACACGCACCTGTAGAGATGTATACGAGATCAAGGTTGAATCGCCCGATCACGCTTACTGGGGTGCCGTCAAAGGAGAAGAAATTCTCTTCTACTGCGTGATGAACTACAGAAAAGGCGGATACACGATGCTTTTGGAAGCTCCGTTTTGGTTCACGCAGGTGGACGACGTCAAACCGGCTGAACTTCATCTACACTGAAAGTGGCAATATCCCCGGCGGCGGTGACCCTGTTTCCCATCTCTGGTAAGTTAGGTATTGGCACACTACCGTTGCTTTGCCTTAGCCCATAAACTCCAAAACTAATTTTAAATCATCATGGTCAGCTTGTGGCGCGGTACTGATGTCTTCGTTGTCACAACTAAGAATAAAGAACGAACTTGGCAATATGAAATCAACAGTCAATGACCTGAGTAAAATATGACATAATGACTGAAGTATGTAAAAATCTTAAGCAACAAAAATATTTTCTTTCTTCCATTTCGGCATGCGTATGCATATCTGTGGTGTCATTGTGCCTATTGCATTGTATTGTCTCTCAGTTCATTCACGGGTGGATTTTCAGGTAGCCAGTTGGCCATAACACCGTAACGCCAGGCGCCAAAATACTGGTAAAGATGTTGACATAAATCTAGTGGATGCGCTGATTAGAAACAAAGGGCATGTGTCAAAGCACATGGGACTGCCCTAACATACAAGATAATATGCATGATAAGAGATGGTAGAAGCACACGCCACCGGGATCAGTGGAAACGTTTACATGGGCAGCCATGACGACCTCGCATTTGCGTTTTGACGTGGGAGCGTTGAACCTCGCTACAGAAGAACAGACACTGGTGGCTGAAGTCAGGGGGCGCCAAGTTGTCGCGACACGATCACAAAAAAGCCTTGGTGTTCTCTGGTCGACACCTGGGCGGCTGGAAAGCCGTCAACAGTGGGGGTCGCGTCTCTCTTCGTGAAAAAGGCTTGGTGTTGTCTGGTCGACACCTGGGCGGCTGGAAAGCCGTCAACATTGAGGGTCGCGTGTCCCGTCGTGAAAAAAAGGCTTGGTGTTCTCTGTTCGACACCTGAGTGGCTGGAAAGCTGTCAACAATGAGGGTTGCGTCTCCCTTCGTGAAAAACGAAGAACGTGGACCAGGACCCAATAGGCTCTGATATCGTTTGCTTTCACATCGGCTCTTCCTTCGGTGCATGCTTCGGTGCGATTACAGCACAGGTTGTCATATGGGGTCGCGGCTCTGACCCTCGATCGTCCCCTGTCTCTGTGCGGCAGGGCCGGGGACGCCATCAGAGACTCCAGACCTGGTGACTACCATGTGGTCGTGGTCAGCGCTATCGGTAAGCGTTTCTCCTCTGCCGACCGCCGCCGGCTCGTGACTTGGCGTGGAACTGTTAGCTGTGACTAGGGCCCGTAGACACGAGAAAGCATAGCCTGTGACGTCAGCGAGGCCCAGGAGTTCTGGCAGTGGCATTGTAATATGCTGGGTAATCGACCCGTTCACCATTTTATTGCTGATTTGAACATGTTTTGAACCAAGTAGCGTGCACCGTAGGGAACTCTGGTTTACTGTATTTCCAAACCTCAGGTAGCTGTTTCCATAAACCCAATGGAAGCTGCTCAAATGGGAGCGACAAAATGAGCTGCAGCCGGCCGTAGCGATGCATTCTTCCAACGTTACGACGACATCACCTCCGGGCGGTGCATTTATAACGGCCTCATCGTCGCGGACCCTGTGGGTGGGCTTATGCCCCACTCCACCCCATTGGGTTTTCAGCTGATTGCATGGTGAATGGATATGGCCACAACCCTGACACCGCCCGGATGTGAGGCTACCGTAACGTTGAAAGATTGCGTCCACAATTTGAGGCCGCGCCTTTCAAAGTTGAAACGATTTCGAGTGCGATTTAAGGCGAAGCACCCGTCCCGACACGGCTGCGATAAAACTGATTGCGGTGTCAGCATTTAATTATGTCTTACAGCCTTTTGAACTTAGGAGGCCTGCATCAGGTCCACAAGCTTAATACAACTGTGCCATCAGAACGTTTCGGGACTTTTTGAACATGCAGAAGCAAATGGAGTGATTCAGTGGTAATCTTGAGGCACTGAGGCCCAGTGCTTTCTGGAGTATGAGGCAGTTTCTGAGTTGAACGTTTCCGAAGTAGTTCCTTACATTTTTGAGCGTCTTAAAGGGAGTGTTCCACATTTATAGGAGGCTCTGGACTGAAATAGCCATCTTGAATACCTTTTGGTACTGTTCATTACTCTGTCATTCTTAAGACTTAAACCTAACCTAACCTAAGCCCCTCTAGTTTCTGGGCTAGACACCCGCGAAATGGGGAGATATATCGAGGAGAGCATTCCAAAGTCACCTTCGTATTCATGGCGTCATCATGACGCCATTCAAATCCTGCCATTCCGTAAACCATGTGGCTACCAAGACCAAGCAAAAATATTATTTTCGAGGTGTTCATATCTGCCGTTCTTGAGCATTCTTTCCAGACATGAGCGCCGTCAATTGGCTCTCAGTCAATGTTGTGCATGGTACGATGACGTAATCAAACTATGACGCATTGAGGATCATATTTAGTGGACAGAGAATTGTGTTGTTTAAAGCATTTTTTCCACTTGAAAAGTATTACAGCCGTTCCAAGTGCGCTTGTTTCATTAGAGCTGTTGGCTGGTTAAATACCCTTTGCTTGGGTGGCCGTCAACTTGACATCCTGAGACTAAAAAAACTGACATAGCTAGAAGCACCAAATTCGCAGCACAGGTTGGCCCGTATGTGAATTGATTTGGTCCAAATTTGAAGATCCTAGGTCATGACTTTGGGGTCAAATAAAATCAAACAATGTCAAACTCTGGGTTGGTGTCTCATGTGCCCTCAAGCCCGCCCATGCAACCGCTGTGGAGCTGCATACTTGCTCTAGCCAAAAGGTCAGTGGTTGAGCTATGACCAAATGCCCAAGAGATCGTTTCTATTTTGTCATTCCAATAAACTATATATATATATATATATATATATATATATATATATATATATATATATATATATACACATATATATATACACACATATATATATATATATATAACAATTAGCATTACGTATTAGCTAGGCATTTCGTGATTATTGATATATGAATATATGAAGCATATATGAAGCGTTGCGCTAGGCGGTAAGTTCCTAAAACCAAAACGGTGTTCTGAGGCATTTTACGTCAGTGATTTCCTCTGACCTTTAAAAATTGCATGGAAGATGCCTTTTGCGGTCCCTGTCATTAATAGATTCGAAATGGGCTTCAGAAACTTTCTTACAATCCAAGCTTTCGAGTAAAAAAGCGGGAAGTTTTGTTCTGGTATGATCTTTAGACCTGTTCCTAGATCACTGAGATCGATTGTATTCTCGATGTAATAGGTTTGTTGCGTAAGAAGCTATCTCAAATATGCATGCCTTTACCTAGCACTCCGTTGTTGCATCACATTGAACAATTCCCTAGAAATGCCTTTCGCTGACATTCAAAAATCCGCTATTCACTTATCTACAGCTAGGCAAATTTTGGGGTAGCCGTTCAAAAAGTATTCTGGGAGAACCTTCGGACCCATCAAATTGACCGCCTCCCCCCCCCCCCCCCCCTCCAACGAGCGCGTGCTAAGAAACGCGCACCATACGTCTGAGCATGTGCCTGTCTTCCCGAACGAAAATAAACGAATGCAACGTTCCGATGGACTTCAGCAACGGCAGCTGACTGGGGGCCGCCGTTGCTCTCTCCTGGACCTCCACTGGGTCGGTTGCTCTTCAACCAAAGTGCTGGCAGGCGAGCGACTTCACTCCTCCTCATGTTCTGAAGTTAAAGATTTTGTTGAGTGTTAATGGGCGCTTTTTACCTCGTTCTCTATTTGCGATGCGTAAAATTATGCCGAATGCTGGTAAGCTTAAAAGTCAGCATTTGGAAGTCTGAAAACCGCAAACAAATGTTGCGTTTTGCGGTCGCAGTCAAAGCACAAAACGTGTTTCTAGTACTTCCAAGTACTGAGTAGCGACAGTCTGAGTAATCGCAGACCTTTGCAGCACGCCAGCTTTGCCGCAATTAAAAGACGCAACGGCGTTGGCAAACGAACGAGCTACATGCCTGACCTTTGCCTTCGCTCGGTGAAAACATGGAACAGCCTCGCCCTACGTCGGAGCCCCGTCTCGGGCTCGCCCGTCCCCTACAACGCCGCATAACGGAAAGCTCTCTCACTAGTAAGCCTCATCTAAAGCTGACGCCATGTGGGCGGGACTGCCGTCAACTGATAAGTCGTGGGCTTGCAGCGGTGCTGCTTGACCCGTAGGCCTGCAGCGGCGCTGGCCTTAACCCGCGCCCAGCTTGGGGTCTCAGACAACCACGCCCGGCTGGGGCGAGTTGACGTTCTCGGGAACCCCCAACTTCCAGACGTCGTATGAGAAAACAACGGTGCCGTTGTGAATGTCTCGTCAAGTCATGAAGAACGCACTCGAATTTGTTTACCTTGGGTTAAATTTGGGGTCACCAGAGGTCACGAAAGGCCAAAAATGATTATTTTGATAGATGAAGTTAACACATCAAGACGAGTATTGAGGGTACAGAGGCAAGCGTTAAGACTATGGGGAGTCCATTCAGACCACTTCTACTCCCTCACAAGAGTCAGATCAGAGCAGGTCACCGTTCAAAACTGGTCTACCAGTAGCCTACAAACACGATGCTTTTTATTTTGTTCATTAAGTGTTTCTGACCCAGTTTATTTTATAAGGTGCAGCTGTGGAAGAAAAGTGTCCCAAAAATAAATGTCATTTTAGGCTTACCTAAAGGACACTTGAGGTCAGCTTAGGTCAAATTTGTAACCCATTCAAATGGCAACATTTGAGGCGCTTATCGGGTCTAAGTGGCCAGTATAATGTTTTTCTGTTGTCAGAAATAGTGTGTTAAATATCTACAGACACTCAATATCACATAACCGTTGTATACATTATACATCCTCCCTTCGACATTTGGTGCTGAATTTGTGCAGACATGTTCGTAAATGAAATTTTACGTCATCAGCTTGACAGTACGATATAGAGGTGGTTACATGCATCGCACTCGCTCATCTAGTCTCTCCTCTAACTACAATAAGGGTCGTCGGCCTTGGACGGTCTCACATGTCCTTACAAATCCTCACATGACTTACTGTGCCCTCATTACGCATCATAACGATATCACAGCATGTTGCTACTTGAGAATACTGCGCCCAAAATTCCCTTAAAAATGCTTATTGTGAGGTTAGCGCGTGTTTTGCAGAAAGCACCTCCAGAGATAGGTCATGACCTGGGCCAAGCTCATGTGCGTTGTGGCCACAAGATAGTTGTGCATGTAGGTTCGTACTCTTTTTCTCGTACACAAACACCAAAACTACGCAGAAGTGCGTACAAAGTTGCATTATTTACGAAAAATAGCACAAATTTAATCGACCTGAAGTCACTGAAATCCCTTGGTTCTGAAGGTTATCTATAGCCATATCAGATTTAAACAAAAATAAATTAACTACGACAAAGTTAGGTGTGATCAAAGTTTTTAGAGGCTTCACGATAACCCGGCTCTCTGATATCACCTTGGTCACTACGCTTGGCGGGTCAGACTGTAAATTTGCACGAATGATGGCAACTTGGAAGAACGTCAGGTGCGGAAAATGTGTTGCTGCTGCAGGGGTTCGTTTTTCTGTGCTTGAAAAACCGTAATGGAGAGTCGACTTCCCTACGCGGCCGGGCGCAGGTTACACTGACTCAATACAATCTACCCACGATAGTGTCAGACGGAGGCATTAGCAGCATTCAGAGTCGGGTTATCGTATTGGTTGAATCAAGGCCCCCGGTCAGCAAGCAGTTACTGCCGCGCCACCAGCTGGTGCATAGCAGCCTCCGTCGCGTAAATGGCGAGGCGCCGACGGCGTTTGAGACACGCCATTTGAGAAAAAAAAACATAAGTTTCGTGACTTATTGACACAAACTATTGTTTTACAAGCACTATGTGCCTCAGCTTAACTAGCGATTGCCTGCTTAGGCAATTGGATAGAAATTGTCTTGTCCGTACATTTTTCCTTGACCTGAAACGGCATGAGCTAAGTTTACGCCGTATTTGAAGTGAGACTCCGAAGACCGCTCGCCAATGCTGAGGTTTCGCTGACTCGCGAGTGGTGGGTGCACATTGCATATGTCTGGGAGAAATGGCGGCATTTATCATGCATTGCGGTCCTGTAACCAGCTGGTGACGTCACTAACCGCTGAATTTTGCATAGAGGAATGCGGGCGTGGAAGTTTTACAGCATGACTTTGCCGCTAGCTTAGGTATTGTGCTGCTTAGCTGGTTGCATGGAGGGATGCGGGCGTGAATGTTTTCTTTATCATACGGCATTGCTTTGCCTCAAGCTAATGTATTTCACTGTTTGTCGACAGCGCTTCATCACTTATCAGTCACTGAGGTGTCGCACGAGTTGTTTCCTTGCAATATATGTGATTCAGTTAACACGCACCTTGGTGGCCGGTGGAATACCCTTCGCTCGAGACGAAGTCGATTTAACCCCCATAAGATATCAGAAGCTGAGAGAGCTAGATATACCAAATTCTTAGGATGCATTGGCCTGCACGTGAACTTACTTGCGCCGAAATTAATGGTTCCTAGATCATGGCCTTTGGGGTAAATAAGGTCAAACAAGGTCAAAATCCAGACCGGTGTCTAAGAAACCGCAGAACCTGGATACCTGTTCTAATCAAATGATTAATGGTGCTCATTTAAGGTAACTTATCTTGTCTGAGCTTTCAGAACTCATGGTTACAAAACCATACAAGACTGCTTAGAGTTTTGCGTTTGAATAAGTGTCAGAGACTATGCCAGGCAATGTGTTCCAAAAAACAAAATGTTGGTCAGGGTGAATTTAGGTCAGTGGCCTGTCCTAACCTCTATGAGCCTATGGAACATGCATAATGTGGTTTCTGTTATAAATAAACTCGAAATGAGTGTCAAAAACTACCCCAAAGAACAAACTCCAGAGTAACAAAACTGGTTGGCTTTGTCGTAAATCTGACTTTCATACCTGACCCTAGGCCAATGGAATTTGTTCATTCAATTGTTGCTTTGCCTAAGAAACAATCTCAGAGATGTATGGCTTCGTCTAACACTTCGTTGTTGCATCAGACTGAACATTTCACTTGAAACGTCTTCGTTGAATCCATGGCATGACCTTGAGCGGCCATAGGCCAGCAACCTTACACAATCCATCAAAATGTTTTACACCAAAATATTTTTCATCAAAGTTTCTAAAGCTCTGCAAAATTTGGTGCCCCTACGCCGCGCCGTTTGAAAACCATTTTGGAAAATTTGGGGGTTCAAACTGACCCCCGCCCGAGCGCGTGTTATCAACCAACATTGGGCCAGTTTGCATGTAGTTCAAAGCTCCTATAATGAGGTAACAAGCTTATGCTCACGTTTTCAGCCTATTGTACAAAATATGAAACTGACCTGGATGAAACTACCCAAACGACTGAACATACAATATGGCAACCTATGCCGAGATCTTTCATCCACAACGCGGGCGCCTCCTCTGTAAATTTTGCCCATTATTTGTCACGGCATGTACGCGCATAGTATCTCGGATGCATGCTGGGAATGTCATCCCCACAGCAATAGCCTTCTGAGCTGTGCAGACAGCGCGCTTGTTGTGAATGCAATGCACTGAGAAACGTAGTGCCAGACGACGCCTTGGGCATCACGTTAGCCCCAGAGCTTACCGAAGCTTGGGTCCTTTGGTCTCTTAGGACATGAGGCACTTCGATGCATGCAAAGGTGTGCACGGGTGTGCGTATGCGTGTGCGCATGCACGCGCGTCCGAAACTTGCTCCTAATATGTCATCCTCTGACAGCCCACCCTGTCTACAGTCACCAGTGTATCATTCTTCAGTCTGGGTCTTCCCGAGCCTGCCTCAGCGGGTCAGCTTCCAAGTCTTATCCCGTCTCTCAGTGTCTGTCCGGTGCCAGCGTCTGACTACCGTTCGACCACATGTCTCCTCAGGGCCGGCCGATGGGGTGGAGTTCGCCGTGAGCCGCTCCCAGAGCGTGGTCATGTCGCTCGGAATGCCAGTGGCCTACGAGACCACGGACGGCTCGTTCTCGTTCTCCGGCGGCGGGACGGTGATGTACCCGTACCTCACCAACACCAACGGCATACTCTACCACATGAACAGCATCGTGACCTCCCAGGCCGGCGGTCTGATTCGGAGCCGGACAACCACAGATCCCCGCTGGTCGCAGGACGTGCAGCGCCCGGGCAGCGTGCGCCTGCTGCTCCGGGAGGGCGACTGAGGCGGGGCGGCCAGCGCTGGCGGGATGCCAGCTACTGGGCGACATAACGTGCATTGCACCGCGGACGGGCCGGCAGCGGAAGTCGTAGTCTCGGCAGGCTGCTCGCCGGGCTTTGATTCAGCAGAAGCCGCGCTAATTATGCCACGGCAACTATGCTATCTATTCAGCAAGCACGATGTACAGCGGATGTTGGCTATGAGGCAATGGTGATTCCGCACGTAGTGAAATAAAACGAGGCAATGCCACATACACTATTGCCATGTCTGCAAAATGTGCATGTTGCGAACACACGATTGATACGCTTGTTTATGATGGTAGCTTTCATTGCTTTGCCCAGAGAAATGGAGTACCACAAAGACCTGGTCCTCAGACAAAACGCGTGGCCTTGCTGTGATGTGATGTGATGTGATGATGCAAGCTGTATCTATCTCTGATCTGTTTTGCGGAAATACACGCTATTTTGCTAGCTGACCCCGATGTGTTTGTACCGCGGCTGCGGATCTGGACGATCTCTATATAATGAACGATTTGTCCAGTTGGTGGCGTGTTCTATTGGATTCATGGTCCAAAAACATGGAAAATTGTTGTGTTCCTACCATTTCATATGCCGCAAGTAATTGTAATTGTTGTCATTACGGCCGCCACGATATCGCAGTCATGACAGCATTATCACTGATGTCCCATCATGCATATAAAACGATATGCAATAAGGGAGATGTAAAAGTATTCTCATGTCTATATCGTGCGCGTCAGAACATCACAACCACGAACACTGTCTCACGAATGTGACGTTATAAACTAGAGAAGATGACAATATGATCCTAGTTACGATCTATTCGATAGCGCGCTTACTTGTACGTAAGGAGTTTGACATGAAGTTTTGATTGGAAGCAAAGCTTGGCACATTAAGCGAGCATACGCACGGACCAATGTCACGGTGTCTTGAATGGGATGATACAGCCAAAGAACGCATACTTTCAAGTTATCGACGCCAATGGAGTAGTGACTTCCGAATACATTTTCATATTTTGCATGTTATTTCGCTAGTCATTGCCCTTTTATTGCAAGTGAGTTGTCGAAGCTGCAAAAATCGCGCGTAACTAGCTACAATCGGCTTGCAAAGTTGTGCTTGGCTGAAACGTCCTGTAATTGGTATGACGTCAACAAATGCCTAGCGTCCGGCCTGACGCCGATGCTGTTCGAAGTTTAGCATGGCAGAGAAGGTGTTCTCGGGCTGCCGACCTGCAGGTTCATAGCTGCTTGGTGTCGGGTCTGGATACTTCGACACTGATCTTTGCGAGTCACCTCACAGATGTTTGCACAAATGTAAGACCCCGGTGCAGTAGCTGGCGGCTCGAGAGTGTGACAGAATGGAGCGTATTACCGCCGCCGGGCCGTGCCGTGCCGCCTCTGCGCTTCCACAGAAGCTATTTTCAGCCATGGGCCGGCAGGGCGGCCGATAAAGCGGCAATCATTATCACTCACACAGCACGGCCGGCTCGTTCAGCCCATGCAGCCTGGTGATGCTGGGTGTCGCCTAACTACCGGTTTGCCTTGCTGCCTTTGTTCTGTGTGCCATGGAAAAATACACTTGCTGTTCATAAGCAAATGCAGCTGACACCCCCAGCCCTGACACTGATCAGCTCTGGAAACGAATTGTTAAGAATGTTTTGACATTTGATGGAATGTTTAGGCGAATGTCATAAGTCTTGTAAAATATTACGCGGCAACCGCCATCGCATGGGGCGTTAGCAGCAGCAGCTGTCATACAAGCGCCGGAAACGGAACCCTTAGCTAGCCTGGAATGGAACCTGGAATGCCCACGTGGGAGGCGAGGAAACGCCAGAGGCGATTTGTCGCTGACTCTTTATCATAACGGGGACTTGGCATTTTAACAGAATAGATGAACTGATTCATGTCTGGGCGTAACTACCAATGGCGTCCGCTGGGCTCGGGCACCAGTAATTTTCGGAAAGATTTTACAACTTTGTGTTTTTAAAGTACAAAGTGGTTGCAATCAAAAACGGATCATAGTAATATTTAAGGCGTGTTTTCCATAGACACATGTCAACGACGAACCACTTCGCTCAATCGTTCTACGCCAATTTCATTTTATTGATGGTCAGGTGGTTCTGCTGACTGTTCGAGTGAAGAAATGTGGTATGTGTTGTGATCTTGCAAGGGTGCAGTTTGTTAAAGCGCTTGGTGTTGGGGGGTAAATGTGTAAATACAGAAGAGTGTTGAAGTCTTTACATTGCTTTCGCTCTCGAGATGCAAAAATAAATATACTTTAATAAACTTGAACTGTGCGTGACACGAAATATATTTTTGTGTCGCAATAGGGTATATCTTATGTATTCAGACACTTGCTGATGAAAGCTTTTCAAGTTCAGAAATGACGATGCAGTCAGGCCTGAAAAGTATTTCATACTGCCTGGCACCCATTCAGAGCGCCTGTTCTTACCAACCAGTGGCGAATCGGCAAGCATAAGCATCCGCATAGCTTTGCTCCTGTTTATAGATGCTTCATATGACGACAGACATCTGGTTACGTCCGTATATATACGCTTTGCTCCTGTTTATAGATGCTTCATATGACGACAGACGACTGGTTACGTCCGTATATATACGCTTTGCTCCTGTTTATAGATCTTCATATGACGACAGACGACTGGTTACGTCCGTATATATACGCTTTGCTCCTGTTTATAGATGCTTCATATGACGACAGACGACTGGTTACGTCCGTCGAGTGAAGCTCGTCCAGCTTGCTGTTCTCGATGTGAACACTTCGATTTTGTGTCGCTGGTTATATCTGACAGAAGATGAGTGCTGAAAGTAGCGTTCAACAGTTCCGCCAATTAGCCACGCGTGAATGCCGGAGGTCGCGCGGCCCTAGCGGTGATCGGACGCACGGGATTGGGTTGGGCACATTTTGAGTTGGGTTCTTAAGCCCTTGGTGTATTCAGGGTAAGCTACCGCATGGTGTTCCCGCTGTGAAAGCTGCGACGGTTGGCTGGTGCTGTTGATGACGGCACTCAAGAGCGAGCAGCAGGTCAGGCCTCCTGAATGCCGTCATCCGACTCGTCATCAGACCGTCAGCGCCCCGACTCCTGACAGTCGTGCGGGACGATCTCCCGTGTTCCAGTCCATCAAAAGCTTGCGACGAGACAGCAGCCCAACAAAACGAGAAAGGCGTTTCAAACATGGTACGTCGGATTTCGCCGCAAAAATTTCCACAGACGCGGTGAAAGAATAGCGAGATGATCGGAAAGTTGATACAGAAAGAATTCGTCGGTATTTAGTCTTATATGCTAGAGTTACAGAGGCTCACATGGAGTACGACAAGAAAATCAAATAATTCAAAGAGTTTCTGAAGAGCTCTGATGATGGGTGAACTCAGCTGCACACGAAAGTGAACATAAATGAAGCTGTCTGCAGACTTCCGACCCTAATTTTCGGCCGGCGGGGCTGACAGCTCGTGCTGGTGCGTCTACAGCCGGCAGTGGAGGCGGAGTTGAGCGCACGTCAGGTCCTCCACCGGACACAGCTTAGGGGGCACCCTAGGCCCTGTACCGGACACAGCTTAGGGTGCACCCTAGGTCCTGTACCGGACACAGTCTAGGGCGTACCCCAGGTCCTGCACCGGACACAGCCTAGGGGGTACCCCAGGTCCTGCACCGGACACAGCCTAGGGCGTACCCCAGGTCCTGCAAGGGACACGGTCTAGGGCATACCTCAGGCGTCTTGACAAGCTCCTCTTTCGGCCAAAGGGGAAGCCAGATTGAACCTACCTCCCACAAGGACCATTAATTTGGTTAGGGTAGGCATTAAAGATCCCTCAGCCCAGGCTTTCAGTGTTATTAGGGTTTCCGTGTCCCGTTGTGTCCCAAAGGCGTGGTGAATGGGTCGTGGGTTCGTTGATGTATTTACTCGGAGAGAAACACGTGCGTATATATATATATATATATATATATATATATATATACGGATAGCTCCAAGTAAGACAGAGGGGCAGCGTGCGATGCGATTTGTGGCGACTGGACGAAGAGTATTACATTGTTCCAACACTGCTTGACTGTTTCTGCTGAGCTCTGTGCAGTGGGAGACACATTGTTTTACGCAAAAAACCCGCAGGGAAGAACATTTTTTAATTGTCAGCATCCCTTAGCAGCATCTTCGCTGTAACCATTTGGAAACTGAGCATGCATAGCTTTTGGCAGGTGTTAGCTCCGGAGGGGGTCGGAAAATATGTTTGGACGCGTCTTTGTGTAGATAGCCGGACAGATGGGGCCAGTTAAGAATAACAAAGCTGATGCTTCTGCTAAAGACGGTCCAGATGGTCCTCCACCTACTTCTGTACAAGCGCTATACTCGGACGGAAAGCGGTTGTCATCTGCTCGTCTGGCAACAACAAAAAAACAAAACAACTGACAACAGGCTTGGGAACAGGCGAACATCGAAACCCATGGCAACGCGAAAATAAATTCAGGGCAATGCAGCACACGGTGGGTAATTGGGCGTCCTCTCATCGCGACAACAGCCAGTAGGAAGTCAGCCCTTGTCACCGCTGTTTCGGCCATACACACGGAACTCACATATTTATTCTGCCAGGTCAAATGCCAACGTATACTCGGTATGATCACCCTCTGTATGTTGTCCACGAACTTGTGCAGTGTCGTCGCCTGGAACCTGGACGCCACCGTACTTTGGCTCTCACGCACGACGGGGACTGTCTCTACGCTCCTCCATTGGACAAGAACCAATCTTGGACGCGAGGGCTGCTTTAGACTTCATGAAGCACATACATTTTCAAATAATCCACTCGTCTTTTTAATGTCCTGCAACTTTGTATAACTTTAGCTTTAACAAGCCTAGTTCCGACCTGATGACTAAGAGCATGTAGCGCGCTGTTTATGCATGCGCCGAATAAATTAAGACCGTTAGACAAAGAAGTGGGCGCTAAATCACCGCTAAATGACCGCTACAGGCTACGGGCTCCTAAAACCCAAATACTAGCACTAGTCTCGGATGCGCCTCAGGCCCTGCACCGGACAGTCTCGTGCGTGCCTCATACCCCGCACCGGACACAGTATCGTGTGTGCTTCAGGCCCTTTACCGGGCACAGTCCCGCGCGCGCCTCAGGCCCTGCACCGGACACAGTCTCGTGCGCGCCTCAGGCCCTGCAGGACAGTCTCGTGTGTACGTTAGGCCCTGCACCGGACAAAGCCTCGTGCGCGCCTCAGGTCCTGCACCGGACACAGTCTCATGCGCGCCTTAGGCTCTGCACCGAACAGTCTCATGTGCACCTAAGGCCCTGCACCGGACAGTCTCGTGCGCGCCTCAGGCCCTGCACCGGACACAGTCTCGTGTGCACCTTAGACACTGCACCGGACACAGTCCCGCGCGTGC